ATAAAACAATATTATATCGCGATTTATAGCAATCGGGGATTGTTACTTCATTACATAAAAGCGGAATCTTAATGACCGATATGTAAATAATGTCTTTTTCATGGCAATTTCACTTCCTGTTTGCTATACAATTATTTTCAATAATAAATTAATGTCATAACGAGAATTATATCAATCAGTATTATAATGCAAACAAATTAATTCAGTAGTGAATATTTTACTGTAAAGTGGCTCGATGTCAGTTGAATAAAAAATTTGAGAAATTACGTATTTTTATAATACTGAAAGAACCGTCAATAGAAACACGTGCGTCTCTTTTGACATTTGTACCTTTTGATATAATCTATTCTTCTCTAATAGTCCGATTGTTATTTACTCACCAACTATTTATAAAATTATTATTCACGTGTGCATGCAGTGTGCACGCAGTGTTTTTTTTTCGCGTACACTGTAAAACGTAAATGTTACATCTCCTCGCGCCTGCTGTTGCGCAAGGATAAATTGTACCTTGATCACCCGGTAAATTATGTTTGCGATCCCTAACAGTATCGTAATTAACGTTCGGCCAATTTAGACATGACAACAATTATTGATCATTATGCAACAATTATTATATAACGTATTATGTACGCATTACGTGCGTGTACGCGTGTACACGCAGGTAGATGCGCGTATCTTCGCGAAAAGTCTTTTTCGTTTTCAAATTTCTCAATTTCCACCAGAAGGAATGCGACGTCCGGGCCCGGGTCGGCCCACTCTCGTCAAACGGGTTTCTCCCTTTTCGTCCACTCTTTTTTTTTTTAAATACGCCAGCCCCTATTTTTAGACGTGGCCTAAAAAGCACGGGGAAGATCGCTTCCTTCCTTTTATTCCTTTTTCCGACTTAGCCACAGGTAGTCGGCGTTCTATTCACTCACGCGTTATTCGGGGCCGCGAGCGGCCGGCAGTCCGACCGTTTTCTCTCTCTCTCTCTCTCTCTCTCTCTCAGCTCCAAAAGTAATATAAAAACTTTATATCTCTCGGAACCATACTGTCATAACAATTCGACAATTTTCGTAGAAGGCAAAAAACCCCGCGGCTATTTTTCAAAGATAACGTTCTATCTAATGGGAAGCTCTCCCGCTAAAGAGGTAGGAGATATATTAAATTTATTGCGAACATTTTTAAGTTTCGTAGATTTCCTTACTTAACTGTGACGTACAAACAGAAATTTTATCATTAAAGTGCTTAACTGCTTCGAGATATAATTTAATTTTTAAGTAGAAATCTATAAAGGTGAGATACGGATGGTTTTTTTTTCTTTTAAGAAAATCTTTTATTAAATGCAGGTTTTTATTTCTCGTCTATCTTACTGATCTAATTATATCGGGAGTTACGCTTTCATTTTTAAAGTCTTTCTTTTTCACGTTTTTCTCTTGTTTTCGAGGTAACAAGTGCATAGTGCGCCGGAACTGCATCGATAACAAGCATCCTGTGACAATAGCATACACCACTTCTGAGCAGCCGGCGGATGTAAAATAATTATTCTTGAAATTGTAAAAACAAGAGAGAGAGAGAGAGAGAGAGAGAGAGAGAGAGAGAGAGAGGGAGAGAAAAAGAGAGAGAAAGAGAGTAAAAGGGAAACGTATTTATTGCCATGGGGAAATCTAAACGATTGTATTTATTTTGCTTGCGATAAACTTTGCTGAAAAATATCTCTTCGAAATCGTGATTTAATTAACGTGGCGCGCGCGTAGTAAAAGGTTGCAAAAGGACGTAAAATTTGTGAATCTTCAAACGATCGTACTATAACGCAGTGAGATTTCCGTATTATGCATATCGCTGTATTACGCATATAATTACTGTCGTAATTAATTCAACTTTATTCCGACGATTTAATTAATTATTCATGAAAGCGCCTCGCTCCTGATACCCCGAAAATCTCTGCAAAGACAGACAGCGTCATGTTACTTTACTGTAGCCCGCGTCTTTTCTGAATTCTGCGGTTACATTTTTATATTGAAATCGACAAAAGTTCACGGGTTTGAAATGCTAAATCGTCGACCGAAGACAGTCGGATCGTCGTCAATGGAAATCGCTATTACCATATAATCTTCGGGCAATCGAAAGGTCAGCCCGATCGATTCCGCCATCGTCGTCACCTTCATGATTGTTTGATAAATAGATCGGTGCCGTCGCCTCTTGGCGTAAACCTTCCGTCGAAATTTATCGTACCAATTAGTACAGGTTTTAAAGGAACCGAATACATGTGCAAGTGCTGCACTTTTGGAATCTCGTGCCAGCGCTAATCCGTTCGATTTATTGCGCCTAGATACTACGGTGTACTTATTAGATTAAACGAGATAAACTGATATTGAGAATAGTGCCGCTGTGGGTACTCCATATACGAGATCGGAATGTAGAATTCGCCATTTTTCTCACGAGGATTTGTGATCTCTCCCGCGATTCCGCGCACGTACCCAGAGAGGATACGTGTATTCGGAAAATCACGACGTTATCCGTTCATTTTTTTGCTCCACGGGATAATTATGTTATTACCGCGACAGAGTAAATTTCCGCGTGTATATCATAAATATATTTTTCTAATCGGCGGCCTGAGCAATATTTTTGTATTCGTTAAGAAACAATTATTATGTATCTACTTTTCAGGTTTTGCAATCGTTAGAAATGAAATATTCCTTCTGAATGAGAAGTATTGATTATCGATTAGGTTTTTTTCAGTTATTTTTTCATTAGAATAAAACTGTAGATGCAGTTATTGATTAAATAAAATTCAACAAAAAAAATCACACATATCAAAGTTTCTTCTTCCACTTCATATATATATTTTCCCCGAATGCCTCACTCCCTGTTCCGATCGATTGATCAAAACGATTCACGATCCGTTCGCACGCTCGCTCGCTCGCTCGCTCGTTCGCGAGTTCGCCTGTACTCTTGTGTACAGTCACGCACACGCCGGCAGACGAGACGGGTGTGTGGCACCTCGAAGGTCCACGTGGTCGTGGATCACGGTAGTGGTGCCAGTCGTCCCCCGGCCGTCGTTCAAGTGTGCATGAACGCCGGTCATCATCTCCGCCGGCCGCAGCCGCAGCAGCCGCCGCCGCAGCCGCCGCCGCCGCCGCCGCTGAGAGGAGAGTTAGCTGGGAAAAACGCGAAACAAGAAAACAAGCCGGGACAAGTTCGCTTTCGTTCGTGTGAGTTTGACGCGCTGACCGCAATTCGTCCGCGGTGCATCCGATAACTCCTGATCGGTGCATCCTCGCCGCGGAGCCGTGTTCTCCAAGTTCTCCATTTATTCGGGATTCGTGCGCGCGCGGGCGCGCGATCCTTCGCGATGTGCTCCGAAAGGGTACACGAACTCCGCGGGGATCGTTGATCGTGATCAGTGCCGCGCGATCACGCGACTCTCTGTGATTTATCGATCGCGTGGTCCAATAAGGATAGATCGTACACAACGGTGCTTGTTTAGCTTCCTTACAGACTTTAACGAGACGCGGAAGAAGAGCAAGTCGTTTCAAGGCTGTAAGTATGTAATGCCAATTTTTTTCGAGAAACAAAAAAAAAAGAAGAGAGAAATATGAAAATTTACTGCGTGATACACGGAGCTGATTCCTCCCTCTTGAAGAGCCTCTCATAATTAACTGTTTTACGTGATTAGTTTTTACTCGACAATAATAAGTGTTTTTCTATTTCAATGCGCACATTTGAACGATATCAGAAAGAATCAGAATATATGAATTGCTGATCGGTAATAACATTATGAAGTTATACAAGTTGTCAGTGGTAGTCGTAAACAGTAGCGGAGTCGCGCGGTTGAATTTCTGCTAGATATCTCAAACTATTGTTTCCCATCGTTAATTGTAGGAAAATTAAAATGGAGATAATTGCTATCTTTCAAGAATATCTTACATTTCGCGCTAATAAACAGAGATACTCAAGTGGCGTTATTACGGCTTAAAGTTTCCAAGATGTATACATATGAGAAATATTAATATCTGATAATATTATATAATATTACCAGATATTAATCGAGTATTGAGTCACGTGAGAGATTAGTGTCCTTGCAAAAAAAATCGTCTCGCCTTATACGATTCGCTAACAATCTTGTAGCTTCGCTTCCGAATGTCGATTTGGAGAGCGCTCGTTGCGCATTTTGTACTCGCGTCTCCTATCTCGCTCGACGAAAATCACCGCGAAGCGATTCACGTAGGCACACGTGTTCTGCTCGCGCACTCGTTTCTCGTCTCGCGGAAAAACACAAGTTCAAACTTCAACGACGGGGAACGGTCGTAGCGGGAGGATTCCTTCTCTCGCGCGCAACGACGCGATCCTCCTCTGAGAACCCTCCGAGGTCGGGGGACGGTCGGGAAACTTGCTCGACCAGCTGCCGCCGCGCTGTCGCTGCCGGCGAGGCGGTCGCTCGACCGTTTCCGAGAAAAGCGAGAGGTTGCACTCCTTCCTCGTTGCCATCTTCGTGGTTACTTTGTGCGGTCGCACGCGACCCTGAACTTCCCCGCGCTGCTGTAAGAGACTTTTGACATTCACACGCGATTCACATGCGCCACGCCGCGCCGCGGGGAGCCGGGCTCGCATCTGTCAAACGCAGATGGTAGCGCGAGGGCAATCAACGATGCTCGATTAACGATTTCTTCCTTCTCCCCGTCCCGCATTCGTTTCCCTAAGATTAATTGTGTTCGCGCGAGACTGTCAGACTTCGCTCGATCGATCTTGCTTAAGATCCATGTTCACGCATCAATTTTATCGATATAAATCCATCTTTTAAAGCGTGTTTACATTAGTTTACGTTAAATATACTGTAGAATCTCATAAATAAATTGATTTAATGATAAAAGTGAGCTATGAACACGGATCTATAAGTCCTCCGTGATTATATCTCTCGTGTCACTTATAAGTTGCGTGCTCGTAAAAAATCCACACTTTTTTGTTTTACTTTTTTATTCTCTCTCTCTCTCTCTCTCTCTCTCTCTCACACAGATATGATCTGTTACTTTTCAAACTCGAGAGATGTAATTACTAAAAAAATATTCTATTTTATATATCAAATGCCTCGGGTATCTCATAATTCATGTTTATTTTTTTTTAGCGACCGTGAACTTAATTCTGCCCCTCGAGAGAGATAATGTGTCGATGTTTATGCGGAAGAATTGATTGTTGAACAAGGTTTAGTACTTTAAATCATTTTCCTCCTCCTTGTCTAAACTTCATTTGCAATCCCGCATTGATGGACTCAATAGTATTCGCTTGTTGATTAATGTACAAGTCAACAAGGTCCAAGATCAGTAAGGATCAACAAAATAAGAAGGACAGACGGAAAAGTTGACGCACACGCTTGTTACTTTTTTTAATTGCGTTTCAAGACGCGATGACGCCAGTCCGATACTTAATCTTTTTATAGTCTCGTCGTAAATACATATATTGGACGTTTTGACGTTTAGCTCATAGATTTGCAAATATATATACAAAGATCTTCCTTGTGCATTTTTATTTCGTACATGCGGTTTTATATGCTCTTCACATTGACTCGATGAAACATTAAATTGCAAACTCGATACAAAAAAGTATTAATAGCTCAATTCTCTAATTATACTTGATCGCAATATATATACATATACATATATATGATTTACGTAATTCCATGACGTGCTAATTGCAACTTTATACGCTCGAATCTTCGTATGCGTTGATTTAATCTTTTTGAGAAAATTTATTCAGTTCGCACCTCGTGTGAATTAAGTAATCCCATCGATCTTTCTCCGTTCGACGCCAGCGGAGAAAAATCGATTCGTTTCGTCACGATTGTCCCTCGATATTCGACGTCAAGCGGCCAGCGGCCTTGAACTCTGAACCCTGCTTGACTTCGAGATCTTGCGCGGGAAATTAAACGCAGGCATTCGGGGGACTCGGGTATTCGTACGCGAGACACTTGCGCAAGATTGAATTTGAAAGCGAATATTCCTCGAATCGAGCCTTCGGGACTGAAAACGTCCTTCCTGAAAGTGTCGTCTTCAAACGATACCGTTTTTTAATGCGCGGCGTTCCGTTATTAATCGACGACACTTATTACTTCCGTGCCAATTCTGGCGCGAGATATCTGTGCCTCGCATGGAAGGATATTAATGAAATGGGACTTACATTACCGTCTTGCAGTTGCGTTGTCGCGTTGTCGCAACAAAATGCTGCCTGCCGTAACAATTATGTGCCAACGACACTCGCATATTCGGACGACAGGTCGCGCCGCACATATTAATAACCGGATCGCGGATTTTCACCTGAATACGCGCGTTGTGAAGAAGCGACGCAACGCGCCGCTCGACGGAGCTCATTGTTGCGAACTCATTGTTGCGTGCATTAATCGTTTGACTTGACGTAAAAATTAACTTTTGAATTTTATTTATAGCAGTTTGATTTATAACAATTGCCCAGACACGCACCGTCTCGGTTTTTATAGCTTCATTAATCACAACAATGACAGTTTGGCTTGACACAAAAATTAACTTTTGGATTTATTTATAACAATTTGATTTATATTGCAATTCCGCGGATACGCATGCCGTCGCGCTTTTTATAGCTTCATTAAACACAACAAAAGTCTCATTACTTTACGTTGCTTGGCAGACCGTTCGAGCGACGGTACGATTGTTATTGTCCATCAAGAAAACAATTGATAAAAAAGATTATTATTGATGATATCGCCTTAATTGTTTTTACAGTGCGCCGCGATGTGGAAGTGATGAACTTTAATCGCCGTCGGCGAGACACTTTGATTTGTTAGCGTGATTTCATTCGAATGCGCATTAAAAAAAAAAAGAAGAAAAGAAGGTATCATCAAGTCTGTGCGTGTCGAACGCGGGGCAATTGTTACGAAATGATTCGGGTTTATTCGGGCGCCGTAACCCGTGACCGTAATCGTATAACTGTACACCGCGCGCGGAACCATGAGTGAAAGTGCGCCGTTGTGTTCGCGGAGTGTTAATAAAGCGAAGCTGTGGGCGCGCGCGGACCGGAATGCCTCCTTTTTTTTTGCGCCTTTCCGCAGAACTAGAAGTTCGCGCTCGCAACGACCGATATAAACGGCAATAACCGGCTCGTGATTCACGGTCACGCGGGGAATGAATGATGGTCAAAAGAATAAGCGTTTCCACGACGATTACAGTCGACAAAAACTATGCAAATTAATTAATATTACGTATTTGTCTCGCTATTTGCATATCGATTAGCGAAAGTTCGCAACTTTGTTTACGATCCCCTATGTGTGACCGCGGGCTTATCTGAAGAGGAAACGCGGGTGAATAATACGTTTCGCGAACGTAAGTGTGCCGAGTGTATCATAAACATTCCCGATGGACACTTCGATGAATTTAAATAAACTTAATGGAGTTTTATTAACTGTTATTCGCTGCCGATATTAGAATTATTTATTAGGCTGCATCTATTAGGATTTATTCGACCGTATCCTCTCGCTTTTACGAAAACGAGACCTTAAGTGTGACAAAGAACGCGATCCGAGAAGCATTATGCTCTATAGAGTTCTAGAGAAAGCGCACGAGATTTCAGAGAGCACACCGTACAGATAATTTGTTATGCATGGCTTTGATCTTATTGATTTGATTATATATTTGCTAAACTCTCGACAATATTTATCGAGCCTCGTCGCAAAGTGCTCCTCAAACGTTTCTATATTTGTGTTCCATTAGCAGCAAAACATAATCTATTCATGTGACACTCTGCAGAGTGTCGGGTAAATCGCGTCAATCTTCACGAGGAGGCGATACTTCGGGAAAGAACAAGTAAGAGATGCGAAATGAGTTTTTCATTGACGGAATAATTCCGTGTCGAAAAAATGATACAATAATAACATACTTCCTTTTCATTTCGTTCTCTCCCAGGAATTATCTCCTTACTAGTTGCAATTACTAGTTACAATTTACCGGGTACCAGTGTATTTGCACGGCAGCCACGAGACGCAGACCGCATTGCAGAATTTTTAGACGGACGCACGCTTGTATTTTCGTTCACCGCCAATCGTTACGGCCGCGGTAGTTCTTCGTAAGTGCAGCCGCATCGTCTGCGATTACATTAATGACATACTCCTGCACGGGATTAGCAAATCAATAATTACTACGGATCTTCGTTATCTCACGAGGGTGGGGGAGGAACTCATGTAATCGTACATGAATGACCGGTCGTCATGTACGCGACTGCGAATGCTGATTAATTTGGAGGTCACGCGATTAAGAAGAAGAAAAAGAAATCGGCAGAAATAAAATGCGGCATTGGATCTGTCTCCGCGGTTGCCACGATTTGCAATTTCGTCAGAACTCCTGTAGTTTTTTTTATGCAGAATTATTGCAGCTGTTCGATTGTTTACGCATAATTACGCAACAAGTCTTGACGAAGAAAAATATAATATTTATGCTAATCTCTCTTCGCTAATCTCAACGTGATTCGTTCTTTCAATGCAGACTTTGAAACATCCTGTACTATTATTAATCTATACGTTTTAATAATTTTACAACAAATTTACAAACTGAAATTAGTTGCGGCTAATAACCGGAAATAAATGGCCCTCGTATTTCTCTCGGTCCTCCTGCGCCGCGTTGCTTTGCATTCGTAATTTCTCCCCGGAAGGAGATTGATGCAGACAGGACATTTATTTCTGATACGCATTTTATCCTTGCACGAGAACCGCCGCTCGGTTCGCTGCTCCATATCTCTGTAATGCATCCTGTCGTCGGTGCAGCACGCGACAGAACAGTACGCATTTCCGGCGCACCGATGCAGCTGCATCGACGGACACGCAAATTAGTCATGCCGTTCGTATATGTATGTATATATATTTCGCGTTGAATCTCGCAGTACAAACATTCCATTTTCGATATCGGCAGATAAACATAAATTTTATCCCTCCCACACTTCCACGAGGCGCTGCTTTCGTAACGCTTTCATAACTTTTTTTTTTTTTTCGAATTATCGTAATCAAGTTTGACTCCAGAATTGACGAGGTGACGCTAGCGCGCGTTGCAGACACTAATTTTTGCAATTGCTTCGAACGGCAGCGGAGTTTTATTTCAGATAAAATATTTTCGGATAATTAAAACGGACTTTACGGAACGTAGACCCTCGCCGAGCGGCTCGCAAGAGAGCGCGAAATTCGGCACTGTGTTCCAAAGTTCGGCAAACAGGACTAGTCGAGTTCGAATCGCGTGTTGGATAGGACGATCGACAGTGCGGATCTCCGGTCACACGATAGGATAATAAACAGTTCCACATGTCTTATTGAAATATCGGATTCTTCCCGGCGTGGCATCAAACGGTCGATGGGGACGGCTGTTTCAGCGGAAAGATATCGCGGTGAATTTCTAAAAAAATGTTTGCCTTACACATATCTACGTATACATATGTATCGTAATATAAATAACTAACACCGCGCGATAACACGGCCACGACAATCGGAAAGCACGCGTAAACAATGAATTTCGTTTCGCAAAGCGAATACATTGGAATAAAATATTTTTGTACCCACGGATATCGCAAGTACGGATATTTAATTCGGCTGTCAGTCGATCTCGCTCCGTAACTCTTTATATGCGGCAATTTCGGAGTGCTTATTTTACCCCGGCGTATCCCCGGATGCCTGAATTCGCAATGAAAGTGGATTCGCCGGTGCTATTCGCATGATTGCGCCGCTTAGTAATGGATACGTATAAGACGTGAATGCAACTCTCCGCGGCCGGCCGGTCGGCGGCGGTGAGAAATTTTCAGCTGTTTCTTCATGCGGCGATAAAATTTTCTGATAGATCACCATTCACCGGCGGCATTTTTCCGAGTGCACTCGGGTTCAAGTGGATTCCACACATTTTCGAGCACTCTCAGAACGGCAAAAGTATATACGCCGCGGCTTGCACGCGAGCTCGCAAAACTTTCCATTGTATCGCGCAGGAGGTTTTCGGTGCAGTTTTACAAGCGAGAGATCTCGCCGAGTTCGTACGCGCCTGTCGAGCACCGTTAGGAATTGTTGCGATTTCGAATGACTTTTTCTAACGAGACGATCATAGATTTGCGTAAAAAAAGAAAGTCAATTTATAAAATGTGAATAAGCGGATGTATTTGTTAAATTGCAATAATATTTTATCTTGCAGCAAAGATCCAGTTATCCGATTTTTCCTATAAACATCGAGATTTTTAATTTATTAAAAATATTATTGTTTAATATTACATCAATATTGTTTATATTTTTTCTCTGTTACAGCTTGTTTTTTTCTGTTGAAATATGTTCGTGCGAAAAACATCAGCCCAGTAAACCGAAAAAATATATTATTTCCCTCGCCTTATTTAGGCAATCATAGGCTTGAACATAAGATAGTAGTTGTAAGGTCATCGGGATTGATTTCAAACGTAAACAAGTATAGGAATTTGTAGAATCGCGTGAGTGAGAACACATTTGTGGAATTTCATAAAAATGAATAAGGAAAAGACGTTATATTAAAGATTAATCCTTGAATTTTTCAGTAGACAACATTAGATAATTTAAATCACTTCATCGTTTCGTATTACATTTAATTGCAAATCAGCTTGTTTAGTGTATTAAAATCTTGAAATAATTTGCAGCGTTAAACGGTGTTATTCGCGGCTGTTAAAAATGAGGATCGATCAGCTAGGGCTTCTTCTATGGAAGAACTACATTGTTCGGAAGCGACAACCGGTAAGCCGACTTAATGGGATATCTGCTTAATAATCGCTCTGTCAAGTAGATCCGATCTAAATCGAGTATGACATAATTTTAGGGAATACTGGCTCTAATTTTTCTCTGGCCGATATTGGTTTTCATAATTCTCTACACGGTGCGTGACAATGTCGATCCCGAGTACCATCCGACGTGTCAGTTTCCCGCGAGGTCGATGCCGCAGGATGGGCTTCTGCCGTTCGTGCAGAGCTACATATGCAGCGTCGGGAACCCCTGCGATCCGCTGTCGAAGTACGAGGAGGTGCCCTCGTACCAGAACTCCACGTTAGTTTCGGACGCGGTGATTGTATCGTAAATCCGTTAAAGATTCAGGAACGCTCACTCTCTTTTTTTCTTTAACTATAAATAGCTTGGGGCCTTTAGTCGTGGAACTGCAACCAATGCTCACTAACAAGACGATTATCTCCGCCGTGGAAACGTTGCCGCAAAGTATCCAACTGTTGAAGTCGATGGCGCAAATACTCACCAAGCCGGAAATCAAGGCACTCTTCGGTACGATTACACCGCAAAGATTACATCGAGCTGAGATTTAACTTGATATGATTCGGTAATTAAATGTTTGAATATGTCTCGACAGATAGGGGAATCCGTTTGGGCGACTTGTTCAACAATCACGAGCAAATTAAGAACTTACTCAAATCTCACATGCCGCACGCAAGGGACGGTTTGATCGACGGTTTATTCGAGTCATCCGTCAAATTGATATACGTGAGTAATTAAGTATTTGCTTAAACAGACATTAATTGGATATACGATATTAGTATACGATACAAGAATTACTTAAACGATTTGTATTGGCAAGTGGGCATCTTTTTTTCTCAAATTTATCTTCTGCAGCGCGAAAAAATTATTTTTATCAATTTCTATCTCCTTTATAGTTAATCCAAACTTTCGGTTCGTCTAATATCGACGGCGTCATTTGCTCCCCGGACAGCCTGAAGAAATATTTGATTGTACCTGAAGAGGAGGATGTCACGGAGATCTCGAATATCCTTTGCAAAATCGATCCGCTATCAATACCCGATATTCTGGAGAATCTTTCGAGCCATCTGGACTTCAGTGGTTTACTGGAGATGGTCGATCGCGCGATGGCGAAATTTCGCGAATACAATTTCTTCCACGATCTGAAGCGAGCGACGGAGACCATCCTCGATCTGAAGACAACCAAGAAGTACATACCCGAGTACTTGAGAATCCGCGAGTGGCTGCCGAAAATAATCTTGGTCTTTCAAAACGTGACCTTCAAGGAAATTGATCTGGATTTGTGAGTTTCGTCCCTAAAATCCATTTCTTCAAAGTTCCCCATTAAATCTCGCGAAATTATATTGATAATTCTCGAAGGATATGAAACGTGACGCTTTAATTTCAGCTTCAACAAAGCCCTCGTGGTTCTCGATCCTGTATTTGAATACGAACGAAATTGGCCGATCGCGCGGAGGGGATTTTTGAAAATAAACAAACTGCTGCGGATGGTGAAGGAAATCGTGAAGAACCGCAAGGTCAATTCCACAGATGATGACGACTTCTTCACCGTGATGAATCGGTTGCGCGGGACTATATCAACTTTCTCCTCGAATCTGGATAATTACGACAACATCACGCAGATATTAGATCTGTCCTTTCTGATCCTGCAGGATGGTATCCGACTTACTAATAAACTGCTGGATCGCCACGAGAGTGATTTTGAATTGCAAGTATCTTTTCTTTAGACGCACAAGGTAAACTAATATCCAACTGTCTGTAATAATGCTTAATTTTTAATTCTTAGAACTGCTAAAGTCTTCGACGGGCTCAGAGACTTCTTTTCTACTAACATTGTAAATTCGATTACGTACGTTGTATCGTTGATGGACAATATCGTGCAAATGACTCATCACGTTGCTATACTTCACGAAGAAACTTTGGAGAGATTATACGATATCTCTAAAAGACACCATAATTTGATCCAAAAGATACTCACAAATCTCCAACCTACTGCATACAGAACGATCGTTCGGTCTTTCTCCCAATTAGATTTTGTAGAGGTTTGTTATATTTATTGCAAGATTCTATTATTACACTTTTCTTTAAACAATTTAATGACGATTATCTTTAAATCAGGTTAACAAAGTTATGCTTTACCAAATTTTTCTTACAGCGTTTCGTAGATTTTATTAGGAAGAGAAAACCCGATGAAGTGTTTTGTGAAGCGGACACAATGAGAGAGATATTCGAGAATTACGTCGAGTTTCAAGTTAATTCCAACGAAATAAAGGAATTATTCTGCGGCGATGAGGGAAAGAAATTCATCGCTGACGTCTACGACAGTTTTGAATTCGAGAAATTTGGGAAAATCGTATGTATAGATTCGCAATTGACTGGCGGTCAAATATTAATTTGTGTTTTAATTTCATGGTTAATTAAAGGAGTCGTAATTTTCAGGTAACGAATACTTTATCGACCATGGTCAGCATGGCATTCAAACAAACAGTCAGGATCGACAGTGCGAACTTAACATCCGTTGTGAGGAATATTAAAGGATTCGTGAGTTATTTAGACTCGCGAAAAGTAAAGTACTTAAACTGGAGCATTTTTCATACCAGCGACGAATGGAAAAAAACTTTCAACGACATGCAGTTTCAAGGAAGATTAGATATGTGAGTAAGGAAAGAACATGTAAAAACCCCAGGCAACTGAGGCAATTATATACATGTTCAGATAAACTGTCAATGTAAACAATAGATATTCTATAATTCATTTGGCCCATTTTGTTTTTCCTAATTATATTTACGTACAAAATTACTTCTAAGTAAGAAATAATCGAACTTGTCTCTAGTACTCGAATAAATTGTTTTCCATAAATTATGAAATATTCTAACTTCGTGCATTAACTTTTTGTTTTTCTTTAGCTTGGGAATTCATCTGAGCATAGCGAAGATGCTGGGTTTTCGCAGTTTGTCGTACGCGTCCATCAAGCCAGATCTGGAAAATATGGACCTGATAGCTGAAGTAATTTTGCAAGATCTACGAAATAATCCTACCAGCTTGATCGGGGAGGTACGCCGACGGGAAGCTGAGTTAATCGAATCGTTTTATCTCACCATCACGGATAAAGAGAAGGTCGGTTCAAAATGCTCATTAAATCCCATTTCGGTTCTTAGAAATTCCGTATAATACAATTGATACTTTTTAGTAGATTTCAATATCTCAATCTCGGTTAAACAGACGTTGCAGATCCTGGAGTATTCTAATTTCACGCGATCGTACTGTACGGAGCCGAATTCGCCGGATCTGCTAAATTTTCCTAAGGAGTCGAACAGCACGATTCTCAAGGAAGCGACGTGCTATCTATCGAAAATCGTGCAAAGGAATCTGGAAATAAACGTGACCAGCATCGAAATTGAGGAGGCCATCTACCGGCGGAAGGAATTTAATTGGACGTCCTTTAACGAGAAGGTAATCGAGATCTACCAGTACGTCGATACCCTGGTGCACCAGGAGGATCTACATTACGATTTGAAGAAAATCGAGAAACTGAAGCAGAACTTCAAGTTCTCGTGGATGACGAACGTAACGGCGAAGGACACGTGGGAGATCAGGTAAGAAATACTTTCAACGCGTCTCGCGCAATTCGCAATATATGTAAGTATATCTATACACGCAAGGATATCATTTACAATTTACCGTCACGCGTATACACGCCGCGCCAGGATTTGATCGGAATATAAATGATCAGTGACACATTACATATGTCTGCAGCGTAGGTTTAATCTGCAAGGTCTTCGACGTGATGGAGAGTCCGCTGTTCGGGATCCAAACCAAGAAAAATTGGCGAAACATTTACGGGCTCGCGTGGGCGACCTCGGTGATCTTCGACAATATCGAGAGGATCGTCGATCAGATCCAGCAGCACGATCACGTGGCGAAGCTTTCCGACGTTTTGCAGGAGATGCCGCAGACCGAGATACTCGTCGGCACGTTCCTAAGAAATTTATCCCCGGTCATCCTCGACATGGTCGACATGATAACGCTGCGGCCGGTGCCTCTTGTAAGTGACGTTTTCCCAAATATATTTGCTCGATTAATCTCAGGGGAAACCAAAATTCTACGAAGCGTATCGTGATGCGAATGCCTCTTGCCATTAGATATCGTCTCTTGAGGATTACAAGGAGCGTGAGGTGATGTGGCCTTGCATCATGAACGAAAGCGTTGGCGCTGCATTAGAATTGAGAAACGGAAGTCGGGAAGTCATTAGAGAGTTCGAAAGAATCGCATGCAACCCAAGTGCCTTTATCAAAGAGTGGAGAGAGCAGCCGGTGATAACGAGAGTCCGAAAAATTGTGAGTTTCCACTTTATTTAATTATTCGTTTATTAATTAACGGGGCTTCATAATTTATAAGTAATAAACTATCTACTGCCGAATAATATAAATTTACTAATGAAATGTAAAAAAATAACAAAACAAAAATTGCAAAATAAATCTGAAGTTACGAATTATGGAAATGGTTACATTGAGCATGCACTTATTAATTTTTAGTTTGAGCATGACGAAACTGTAGATTTGCCAGCGTTCAACTGGACTCTGGGCTACACGAAATTTAGACGATTAGTGACGAAGTTCGAAAATCTGGTGAACAACGCTAAAGACGTCGTTTTGGCGGAAGAACCGAAATTGGTGAAGTACATGAAGACAATCGCGACAGAATCGGATGATATTATCCAGGAAAGATTGCCAAACATGTATGATTGGAGGTAAAAGTTAAATTTAATTATATTTTACGCGATGAATGATATTAGCGAAGGTAAACTTACGTAAAACTTTTAATCTAATCCGAAAAGAATCATATGAGACACCTAAATATAGTCATAATAGCTATTTTAAAAGTATTAATTTTCGTTTAAGAAATACCTTGAATCATATCGATCTGGAGCTCGACAAGGCCATCCCGTCCTTCGACAGCGATCTTTCTGCAAATGGAATTTGGAAATCATCAGTCAATGTTACCGATCGCATTCTTATTTTTGTTAAATATATATCTAACGTCGTTCACAAAAGCGCGCGCATCGTGACCGACATACTTAAAAGCGGTAAATAGATTTTCAATTAATAATAATTATCATAAAAGTAGAAACGCTTGTGATGAGTGATTTTTTCGAAATATCACTACTTGATTTTCTAATCCTTGTTCCGCTTTTCAGGCACAGGGAAGATCAGTTTGCTATCTTTGTTAGGATTCGATAATATCTCCCCTATTACCATTTTCCACGATCAGCTACCTTTCGTCCTGTCGACGCTGGTGAACGGGATATCCGACCCTATAATAGACAACCGTATTGTCACAGCATTGAAAAGTAACACTACAATCACGTGCTCGATGCTGTTCGACTGGCTTTCGGATTATAAGGTCGGCCTGAGCGACGAGGAGTACAGGACTTTGAAAAATTTCACTTGCGATCTCGATCCCGAGAACTTCAACGTCTACACGGATCTCTATATGGCGGAAATGACGATCTGGGACAAGCCCACCAGCAAGTATCGGTCTTTCATAGCCTCGATGATCGGCGACATGTACGATCTTATTGAGGCTATCACCCTCGCGATGAAGCACAACGTAATCATCGAGCCGCCATTTTCGAAGAGATATCTGGATCACATGCTCCAGATGTTGAAAGACACTCTGGAAATCGTGAGCGGAGAGGGTACTTATCACAAGGTAAATACGGCTAAGCGATAATTGTTACATTTATATGAAAGCGGAAGTTTCAGATTTAATCGGCCGGTCCTCGCATAAGCAATGCAACAAGTGGCTATTCTTTTTCTTTTCAGGAATTGAAACTGGGTGAAGGATGGTCGAATTACAGATTGCTTATTGAGGGCGTATCGCAAATTCTGCTTCACATTGGCAACGCGTTGAAAAATGTCGAGGTACACGACCACGAGTTGAAAACTTGGCAACTGATGGCGAACGATGATACGCGTCAAGTGCTAAAGATTCTAGAAGCTAATCCGGAAGAGACAGTCGCGTTAATTGCCACCCTCAGCACGCTCGACGATGCGACCGGCGAATTTATGCCTTTCGAGGACATCAGGAAGACTATGTGCACTCAGCGTTTTAACTCAAATTACTGGTCCACGACGAACAGAACGCGCTTCCTGGAAGAAGTGTGCTCGTTCGATCCTTACCAGCTGCTGAAGACCGCCACGAGCGACGAATACTATGTGCGTACATCAAAAAGACAATTGAAATAATTTATTCAGTTTAAAGCTTATACGGAAATTAGCTCTGAATCTCTCAAACATGTTTCCAAAAATAATTTATATTCTCATATGTTTTTTTTTTGCAGGAGATTGTCACCGGTCGGAGAACTGCCTTGTCGAAATCGACTCCGTTAACTATGTCGTTAACGAGATTATTGGACATCGTAACGAATTTTACCGTCGCGTCGCCAGGCGTGAGTCTCAGATCGAATATCTTCAATGTGACGACGTGGGCGAATCTGCCCAATGAGACCTGGGCTCTGATCCTGAGGTCCGAAAAATCCTGGATTCATCAGTACCGAAACTCCGCGTGGTACAGATTCAACGTGACGGATTCGCACGTCGGTGCGGATTATCTCGTCGGGGCGAGGAAATTGTTTCAGCTCCTGGAATCCGCGATCAATCTCGTGTCCGGCGGTGATATCTGGCAGAAGCTGCGCGTCATGCACGAAACGTCGAAACTCAAGCCGCTGCTAACACTCGCGGAGGATATGCCTAATCTCCTTATTACCGCCGCCGACACCTTCGTCTCGTCCGAGAGGCTGGACGATTTCATACAGAAGCTCCTCCTCGGCCTGGTGCACCCCTGCGATATCGACCGGTACCTGATTCCGCCCAGCTACATGAGGAAGAGAGGCTTGCTGGCCAGCATTACGAATTTCTGCCAGAAGATCATCATGAGCGATGAGCGGTTAACGTGGACGGACTTGCTGCCATACAACGGAAAATACAATGTAACATTCGATCTGAGTAAAAATAGTAGATAATAAACGTTAAGCTAAATTTTAAGTATTCGTTAAATTAATTAAATTTTTATTTTTATTTAAATTTTTAAAGTCCTTTAAATTAATTTATTTATAGGACAGCCACGTTACTTCCGATATGCCATCGGAATCCGTTTACGAGGAACAGCTATTACAAAGGGTACAGAAATTTCAGACCGCTTTGGTTCGCGCTTTATCGGAAGGCTTCAGGCAGCCGAAAATTCCTGCGTGGTGGACGTCATTCGAGGAGGGTACCTTAAAAAGCTTCACGGCGCAATACAAGAAAAAGGTAGATTACTGACTACAATCTTCGCTCATTTATTGAACTCATTCTCTATACGGATTAATGATCTGTTATAAGCGCAGACTTTGTTGTTTAAATCTCTCAAAAAAATAATCGCAATTTAATTAAAAACGTTCGCAGGACGCGAAGACTATGGCATATTCGATGGTGAAGAAATCAATATCGATTATGAAAAATTTTTTGGTAACTCAACCTAGCACCGTGTAAGTAAACGTGTCACAAGAAATATCGATCGATTGATAATAAAGAGGAAAATTAATTTGCGTAATTTTGCGTCTTTAGAAATTGTACGTGGTGTGTTACGCTCCCACTGGAGATTTTAAATTCTCAGCTGATGCACCATAGCCTCTACTCGAAACTGCTCTGTCAAATGACTCGATTAAATATATCGGAGGTGCATAACATTTTGATGAACGATTTCAACTGGAATAAAACCGGCAACATGGTAAGAAATGACGATTATGAATTACATAGAAAGACATGAACTCCGCTTATTAATTTGGAAAAAAAAACGTACAGGTCAAGAATTATAAATATCTGACCAAGAAGAAGCCGCTTGACGAGTTTTTAAACACGCTCGAAATTACTCTACATTACATGGCCGATATCTTCATCGATTTTCAAAACGAGACATACAGTGATAGAGTACACGAGTGCTTTAACAAATTCGTCGGCGGTCCCACGTATTCCAGACCGGGGTTGTAAGTATTTTTCTTCTCCCGTCGTATTAAGTTTAAGTGTCAGACTACTGCAGCATTGGAGATTGATTGCAAATTCATCAGAAGAGATTAGAATTTTAATTAAAATAAAACGAAATTAAAATTAAAAATAATTTATCTGATCGATCAAATTTTTATTTTTATTTCGCAATCCTTAATTCGTAGTCTGATACCGCTTTACGTAAGCGATAATTGCTTTATGCATTGCGAAGTGACACTAACTCGTCATTATCGTTCAAGGTATATTACGTTCGTTCTGAGCATCTTGGACATGCTGGAAAAGAATGTTTACATTTTGGACTCGGCGTCCATCCACGAGGGCATCAACAATCTGACCAGACTGGCCGAAATGCACGTGCCGCTTTGGAAACCGTTGCGCGACGTGGTGAAGCAGTCCGATCTCGCCGACATCGACGCCGCGCTGCCGAACGCCACCATCAACGTGAACGCGATTCTGAGCAATCAGAACAGGACGAGCCTGTGCAGGACGAAGATCGACTGCCAAAACGCGACGGTTCTGTACAATTTTCTCAGCTCGAAGAGAGCGGGCAAGGTTTTCCGATACGACCCGAAGGCGTCGAAATATCCGACGGTAATCGACATCTCGAGCCGATTGGCTCGCAGTCTGGACTTCGATCTCATAAGTCGGCAGCTGTCTTACTGGCGCACCGAGGCTTCCTGGAATCTCTCCTGGCTCAAGGAGATCCTGGTTCATTTGTCCATGATCCTCGGAGAAGGCGGGAATCTGCTGGACGTCGCTAGTCAGATCGATCTCGAGGACATCACCAGCAGCATTCTCGGGACTCCCGATCTCGCCGATGGTATCATCAATATATTGAAGGATAAAACAGTCGACAAATTATTCGACGGGTACATATGAACATTTCGATTATATCCTTTTATACGTACCAGACGATAAAATGTGCGAATAAAAAAATAACGTTCCCCAATAATTTATAAAATTCATATTCTCACGAAAATTTGAATGTGGAATTATTGCTATAATTTTAAAAATTCTTACAATTCTTAATAACTTGATATTGTAAAATATTAAAATATCTGCGTGTGGATTTGCAGGATGAAGGAACTCCTTGAGGATGTGGAGCCGTTCATAGAAGACAACGAAATAATCGACGATCTACACAAAATAATCGCGACATTGGAATCGATGGAGATTTTCAAGAACCTAGGACTGCTCGATATGAAATGTATTGAATTCGAATTCAAATTTCGTTAGAGTGTGTGGCGATTTTTCTTCCCAACTAACAATTTACATTTTACAGACGTCGTCAAAGACATGTTCGATAACTGGGATTTTGTGCGAACGTATTTGATCGACAGAATTGGTATCACCAACGAGATCGCGCTCACCTTGGGCGAGGCCAAGATAGACATGATTTCGGTCTTCATGCAAGAGCGCGGTATCGTTAGTCTGAAGGACAGCATTTGCTCAGCCGAGAAGCTTGGCGATATGTTGCACTTCAACAACGATCTCGTGACTGCCGAGGAAGTCAGCTCCGCGCTCTGTCAATTGGAGGACTCTCAGACGCAGGATATCGCCATCACGTTGATGAAGAACTTGAACTTCGAATACATTTTCAAAAACGTAATTATAACAGCGTTTTATTTATCGATTCTAAATACGACAAGGATTTGGATAAATGTTTCTCTTCGTTTCAGCTAATGAGCGCTAATGTGAAAAGTATATTGGCTAATGCAAATCTAACCGAGGCCGAAGGAAAAGTTATATTGGACAATCTTGGAATTGCTGCGGAACTATTTCCATTATTCAAAGACAAGCTGTCGGCGAGCTTTTCTATTGGAAATGAAACAGAGGAGACTAACGCGGAAGAAATGGATGAAACGTCATCCAGTAAGTGCGGACATAACATCGGCATTAACTTTAAAATTTTCATTTCTTTTATTAAATTTTGTAATGCTTTTTTTTTTAGATTCGCAATTTCTGAAAGATTCCAGTAAATTACTCTGCGGTAGAACATTGATACAAGATGAAGGACAATTTTACAAATATATTACCAATTTAAAGGACAGTAATAAAGCGTCCGATCAGAGGGAACTCGATTCTTTGCCAGGTAAGATATAAGCGAAAAATTGCAGAATTGGGCGTTGGGCCGTTAAATAAAACGACTTATTGTGAAAAAAAATGATTTTAAATTTCAGACGCTTGCAAAGATACGTACAAAACTGTGCTGTCTATACCCGGCGGAAAGATCGTCTGGGGGTACGTCAAGCCTCTGTTACGCGGGCATATCCTTTACGCGCCCAACACCACCGTGATCTCCGAAGTCATGGCGTTGACGAACGAGACCTTCGTGCAGATGGAGCACTTCGGCGTGCTGGTAGACAGCGTCGAGAAGACTCTCAAGGCTGTAGCCAATCTTACAGAGATGGGCGATACTTTGACGGAATTACAGAACATAATGTCGTCCGACGTCATGAAGGTTGCCATCAAATCGATGAGCGGTGGCAATTTCGAAGGTATCGTCCGTGGCTTCGAGCTTCGTCATCGTCGAAGCAAAATTTAAAAAAAATTGCGTTAAAAGTATTAATGAAGCATGCCATCAATCCGATAACATTGTTGTCGTACAGGTGACCTTTCCGAGCTGAATCTCAGCGAGCTCGCGTGGCGGCTGAAAAAATCGAAGAAGCTGATCTCGATGATCGGCATGCTGAACGGTATGATGGGATGCGTGCTGGTGAACAGAACAATAGGATTCTCCACGGAGGAGGAGTTGGAAGCAGCGGCCAGCCGCTTGACTGACACGAACGAGTTTCTCGCCGGGATCATCTTCATGGACGACGCTACGTCGCATCTGGCGAAAAGATCTCTGGACCACGAGCTGCCGGACAATATCACCTACAAGATCCGCATGGACGTGGACTACGTGCCGTCCACCAGACGACTGAAGAACCAATTTTGGATTCCCGGACCGGAGAGCAGCTTCATCGAGCATCTCAGGTATCTTCGGGGTTTCATTCAACTTCAGGACTCCGTCGATCGCGCGATCACGAAGGTGAAGACCCGGAGATACGATCTCAACTGGAGGACAGTTACGCAACAGATGCCGTACCCGTGTTGGAAAAACGTACCGTGAGTAAACGATATCTTGCGTCTTGAGATAAGAGTCTTGTGATTGTGTTAAAAATAAAATAAAATAAATCCGTTGAGAACTATTGTATAATATCGCTGTCTCTCATTTCACTATTATCTACAATTATTCATTCACGAGGAAAATAAATGTTATAGATTCCAAACGACGCTTTACGAGTCTCAAGGCTTGCAAGTATGCTTCTTTTTCGCGTTAATGATGTGCGTTGGAGCGGCTGTCAGACATATCGTTTGGGAGAGAGAATCACAAAATGCCATGGTACGATTGCTACTGTAGGGTTAACGCAATATGTAAAGTCTATTTTACATTATCTACAATTCGTGAGAATTTAGGATAGAATTTTATGTGCCATGCAACAAGGAAGTTATTTGAAAAACCAAAAAAAGTATCGTAAGAAATTATGAATAGTATTCTATTCCGACATTCGACACAAATTACAGATCACCTAAAGTGGGCTTTACAAAATGCTGACATTTAATTCTTTATCGGAAAAAATGCAGTAATTATCCGACCGTTGCAATTAATTTTTCAGGTAATGAGCGTAATGGGATTAAAGCCGTGGCGCAACACCTTCGCTTGGTTCATCACATCTTTCGCGGAGCTGTCGATCGTGATGATTGTCATCTCCCTGATTTTACTGGCTGGAAAAATCCTTCCGCGATCGGATCCCTCCATCGTGCTTATTTTGCTTTTCGACTACATCTTCTCCATTGTGACCTTCTGGTGGGTAATCGCTTTCGAGAATTTCTCACCTCCGTCGTGCGACTGTACACGTACTCGGCCACGTGCGATTACGTTTCCTAGTCCCGGAGTTAACTACTGTAAATCTTAATTACGTTTCAGCTACATGATCTCGACGATGTTTAGCTCCGCCAGTCTCTCCGCGGTTACCACGGTTGTCATGTTTCTGTTAACTTACATGCCGTATGTCATTGTTATCGCCATGGAGGCCACATTCGGAATCGGATACAAACTTATAATTGTGAGTTGACCTGGTGGTCTAACCGTATTCCTATTTAGTGTTACGGAGCAAAAGTCCGACTGAAAATATCGCGGCAATCAAATGCGAGTGTGACACTAACGTTAACGTTACGCTCTTAACAAATAATACTCGTTCTAAATAATATCGTCAAGAATTGTCGCAAAACGATTTATTTCTCAGTGCCTGAGCATGTCGACCAGCTTCTGTTACGGATGCCTATACGCGGTGCGAAAGGAGGTTCAAGCCATCGGTCTTACTTGGGCGAACATGTGGGAGGAATCAAGCCCCGGCGATCCGATGACTCTGGGAATGTTGTTGCTAATGATCGCTTTCGACGGTTGCCTGTACGCCGCGATCGGTTACGTCATCGCTAGATACACCGATTCAGGTACGAACCCGCGGCCGACGCGCCTCCCGTTTTATTTACGAAAATGATTCTTTGATAATCTGGTGAAGGTTAAAAGTGACTAGTAGAAATTGGCTAACACTGACACTGTTTTTTTCCCCCGATTTCTTTCGTGCGACATCATCCGTGATCGAATCGCGAGTTTTTTTTTATAAAATGGATTTTTTATTAACAAGAGAATTGTTTGCGAAGTTGATTTTGTCGGTGTAGGCTCTACCTATCTTCCTCTGTGTGTTTCAATATTATTTTTGTTACAACCCTCTCGTCGATAACAATTAACTAAAAATTACTAAAATCGTCAGAGCTAAACGGTGGAATTATTTCAAGTGGTAAATTAGGACTATTCGCTTCTGAAGAAATCATGATCAGTTTTAATAGCCTTTAATTTGTAACGAAAATGCAGAAGTTATTTCTGATCACAAAACTTTTCGTAATTCGTTCTAATATATTTATCTATAATGTTTATTAGTTCGACGGATTTGATTATTGAGTTAATAATTTATTTGATTAAGCAGTTAGTTACTCATTTTAGAATTTAATTATTCCCTGTTTAAAACGATTTCACAGTACTATACAAATATTATTCATGAAAATACTCCGACGCGTCTCTTCCGCGATGGCTCTCACACAAAGTAAATAATGATAAGATCACGCATACTATCCCGGTATGCGGTCACCATCACATTTCCGCAAAACTTTGCACATTTCACACGGTGCCCTCACTCTGCCCGTATAATCACGAGATGCGTCTGCGAGAAAGGTGTCCAGGAGGTCGCCGGGACGTCCGACGTGACGTGAGAAGTCGCGTCGTTTAAGAGAAATCGATGAGGAGGCTCTGGTGAGTTATCTGCGAAACGGACGAGCATTACCGATAATTTTCCAGGTAGGGGCTTTCACGGTTTGAGGTCCCGTAGCTTATGGTGGGCCGACACCCGCTCTCTCTATGGCAGACCGAGCTACCTCGCCTTCGTCAACAACCTCTATTTCACTAACGACGTTCTCCATCCCTCAGCCGCTTACCAAGGTATCGCACTCTTCCCTGTGCACACGCATGTCACGAAAGTTTGTTTTCCAGCTTGCCTCTCGCGCGCTTGCTCGCCGTATAGCGACGCAGAGCTCGCATGTCGGCTGACACGAGGGGGGCAGGGGTAAAAAGAACGGCTTTGATAGACGTGAACTGGGTTAAATTTCGCTCCCGCGATAGAACGGTGGAAATTATCGTCAACAATTTTGCACATGGTGTTCGTAATAAAATTTAGAACTTTGGCATTCCTGTGAAAACTTTCGTCAAGAAACAAGGACAATTTCGAACAGGAATAAATTTACGATATGTTTGTGATCTAATATTACGAAAGTTAGTTTTTCAATTTATAGCTGCAGTTATCTCGCATAAGTTTGTTCTTTTTATTCTTGCCATAAATGTGTATATATATGTGGGGACATGCTTTTTACGCTTTCTCGCTTTTTGGAACGTTTTCACTCGATTTGGTGTTTAAGACTGTAAATGCGATCTAGTGCACACCTCTTCTGATTTTCTTTCTGGTTGTTCCATTATATTTTTACCATCGGCAAGTATTTTAAGGTCAGGTAATTGTTCATAAATTCTACATCAATTATATTCTCTACGTTTGAATGATTTATACAATAGCTACACGTATTGCACGCATCGCATGGAACGTGTAGTTCAAACAAAAAGGAACGTTATGTTTGTTCCCGGGCACGAATAAAGGTATCGGAATTGCGTTTAAGAGAGATAATATTCGTACTTGTTGGTATGTATGTGAAGTTGCTTTGAAAATCATTTTCAAACTCGCTACTCTGACGTGACAGTTCGGTAAGAGCTTGCTTTCAATTATGCAGGCGTCGTTATTATACAGACTTGATAACGAACTGCCATTTGTTGCCGAACGTATAGATGACGAGAGCGATCTCAGCAACCTGACGGTCACGGAGAAGCAAATCGGCGTGAAATTCGAGGGTGTCAGGAAAGTCTATCATACCGAACGTGGTGACGTCGTCGCCGTGGAGGACTTCACCTTAAAACTCTGCGAGGGTGAGGTGACGAGTCTGCTCGGAAGAAACGGCGCGGGAAAGACTACGATTATGTACGTCAATCGCTTTTCGAATTAATCATTATTATATCCTTGTATAATAGGTATCTCGATATGCCTTGAATTCTATTCAATATAATAATTTACGAGCGACGTCCAATTTTGTTTCTTCCCGTTACAGCAAGATGCTAACGGGAATGGTGGCCCCGACCAACGGCGAAATTTGCCTGAACGGCGAGGAAGGTTACAAGCCCGACATTGGAGTGTGTCCTCAGGATAACGTCCTCATCGGAACTCTGACGCCGAGGGAGCACATGATATTTTATTGGAAGCTCAAGAAACCTAACGATGATAATAACATGGAGAAGAATGTTAACGAGTAAGATGCTCTAAACTGGAGAAAACCTTTCCAATTTTTTTCGCCTAACTTTCCAATTAATTTCGCTGCTAAATTAAACGCGTGAGAAAAAAAATTCTTTCTTCTTTTAGCTTTGTTGGAAGATTTCGTTTTAGAATAATCATGATCTATCAATTGAAGACGAAACGATACAAGTCCTTTCTGTTTTCTTACAGAATGCTGGCTTCCCTGGAACTCGGCCGCCAGGAACACGAGCCAGTGTCGCGCTTGTCAGGCGGTACGCGACGCAGACTCTGCGTGGCCCTGGCCTTCCTCGGCTCGCCACGTCTGGTGATCCTGGACGAGCCCGGCGCCGGGGTGGATCCCGCGGCCCGACGACGGATCTGGCGACTGATCGACCAGCACAGGATCGGCAGGACTGTTCTCCTCTCGACTCATCATCTGGACGAGGCCGACATGCTGAGTGACACCGTTGTGGTGATGCACAAAGGGAAGATCTTGTGTACCGGTTCGCCGTTATCCTTGAAGATGACGCACGGCAGGGGCTACAGACTGAACGTGACTTTTCCACCCGAACATTACGCCAACGGTGAGGCGGGGCTAGGAGGGATACCAGAGACGGTCGAGAAGAAGAACCTCAAGGCTCTTCGTACCGTCGTCGAGGAAGTTATGCCGAACACCACGATAGACGAGGTCTCCGAGGCAGAGGTCATCATCGCGTTGCCTTTCCAGGGAAAGAGCAGAATGAACAATGAGTAAGTGTCCGTAACATTAACTATTAGCGCGCGCGACGTTGAAAAATTGATTAATTTTATAATCGAGTATAATTTTATGTGCAAGTTGTACTTTCTTGAATTTTTTTTCGCTCGTTGTAAAAGAATTTGCGTGCAACACCGCAGAACTTAAGAAGAAAATATTAAGCAAGTTCTGCTTATATCGCACACACATTGATTTAGGATAACGCCTGTTATTCTCGTATAGTCTTCGCAAATATTTGACGCTCCAAACCTCGCGACTTAGAGGGATTTATCTTAAAGGGAATCGTTGTAATCGTACTCGAGACAAAATCGATTAAACACCTGCGTTTGCGTTCGAGTAAAGCCAGCGCGTTGTTTCAGCATCGCGCAAGTGGCGAAGGCGCTGGAAGACAACCGTAAGCTCTTGGGATTCTCGCACTTCTCATTGGAGTGCGACACTCTGGAAAGAGTATTCTTGGATCTTTGCGCGCGAGCAGACAGCGGATCGAGCGTTATCAGAGCGAGTCAAGATAGCGTCATTAATATGGAGCATGCCGGTAAGAAATGTTCCACGTGCACGTCATACGTAAAATCCACCTTCTTAATTAAAATATCTATTAAACCTTTCATTGTTCAATTTTTGGGGCATGTAAAAGAAATAAAAGGAAAAGAAGAAGAGAAAGAGAAAAAGCGAATTAAAAATAAAACGGATAATAAAACTGTAGCTCTTGAAAATACAAAATGTAGAAGTTGATTTCGTAATTTTAAAGCTACGATATATTTAGCGGAAAAAAACGAGATAAGCGTGAAGAAAAATAAAATAAAATCATAATAAAGCCATTAATTATTACGTCGTATTATGCAACTCAAACTTACCGTCTTCAATATTTAATTAAGCATTATATTCAAATTTAAAGAAAAGATTAAATTAGATTAAAGATTAATTTAGTATTTTGCAAAAAAAAAGAAGTTTAATTAGCTTCCAATCGATGATACTTAAGCTTAATATAGAGAAAAATAAATGTTTCTTCGCTTTGCGCAGAAATACCCGGATCAAATGACAACATCGATTTAATTACCGACATGGTGTTGAAGCCCTCGCCAATTCGACAGATGAAAGCCATGATAAAGAAACGGCTATGGCATTTCACGAGAGACTGGAGAGCGCCGTTGGCCGCGCTCGTTTTACCAACCATGTTTGTCGCAATCGCTATGGGATTTTCTCTAATACGACCACCGTCCGAGAACGAGCCACCTCTGACTTTGACTCCCAAACTTTATGACACTCATCCGACTTACTTTTATAGGTAGGAGAGAAATTTAATAAAAAGAATATAATAAAAAGGGGAAAAATGAAGCGTAAAAATCTCGTGAAAATACCAGTTGCACGATCTGCTTATTTATATTTCTGCACATTACAACTTTAAATTCGATCAAACTGGATTGAGTTAAATATTCGATAATAAATAATTTTTGATATCTTGTTATTGCAGCATCGACAGTAATGATCCGTTCCTACAACATGTGTCTATGCAGCTGCACGATCGTTTCGGGGACGATTACGCTGGCGCATGGCAAACCTTACCTAATGTACGAATACTATAATGAGTGATAATTATTTCGAAATTTGTGAGAGCTTCAAACAAGTTCGAATTATAAACAACTGCAACAATTTATCTCGAATTCACAGGATACCGGGACCTGCGAATGTCTGGACGGTCAACAAACCTGCCGAGGCGTGTCTAAAGCCGTCGAGGGCCTTCTTCAAACTCTACCTGGCCGACCTACTCTGGACTGGATAGTCTCGACGCATCAGGAATATATAGAGAAACGGTAGATTTCACGCTAGCGCATTAAGATGCGAAGGAGTTAGGTTACTCGATCGATGTTTTCTGAGTAAACAACGACTCGCAGGTACGGCGGCTGGTCTCTGACGCACTCCAAGGAGGATCCCCTTTTCATCGTTTGGTACAATAACAAGGGCCATCATTCTATGCCGGCGTACCTGAACGCCCTTAACGAGGCGATCCTGCGAGCGTTCGGGGTGCGAGGACACTTAACCACGCTCAATCACCCCTTGAAGCTATCGAGTGATCAGCTGAATCGAACGACACTGTGAGCGCTCATCTCTGATATCGCGACAAATCACGGAAGAAAATCTCCCGAGAGATAAAGATATCTCTCGTTATCACGCGCCCGTGGGATTAATTAATTAACTACGTGAATTTACGCAATAGGATACGCGGGCGGATTTCCCTCAAATGGATAAGCGAAGACGTTTGCGCGCACGGTTCGAAGCTCTCTCGAATCCAAGAGGAGGTTCAACGAGTGAAACATCCCGGCGCAGACGTTTCGTTTACTTTTAATTAACGTACCGCATCATTTGGTATTCAACGCCGATAGCTCGCCGCGCGCGTTTCAACGTTACATCGCGGAGTTTCTACTTGTATCGTCAAATCGCTAACGATACTCACTCTTGTTTGCTTTTCGTGGTTAATATTAAGAATCAAATACCCGTAAATTTTGCGCAAAAGTTATACTCGGACGATCGTACTTTCTGAAGTTTTTACAGCAGTCGAATCGCGTCGTTCGAATGTCGTTTGAGAAACGTCAGGAATTTTGTACATAATATTTTTATTTCTTCAGATTGCAACACGTGGCGGACGTCGGCGTGGGGTTGGTACTTTTGATAGCTTTCAGTATGGTCGCAGCTCAGGGAACTAAGGAGATAGTCAGAGAACGACTGACGGAAGAGAAGAGAATACTCTACCTGGCCGGAGTTCATCCCGTCACGTATTGGACGACAATCTTAATTTGGGATTTCATAGTGAGTTATTTTAACGGAAAGAAGAGAAAATGCAGGAATTTCTTCAATTAAAACGCTAAAAACAGATCACCTAATTCGATCGCCAATATTATCAATATTTCTTCCTTTTTTTTTTTAGGTATACCTCTGTGCTGTCTGCCTAGCGGTAATTGTTTTCGAGATCTTCGGTTTGTCAGCCTACGTTGAGAAAGATAATCTCGCCGGAGTCTGTCTCCTGCTAATTCTGTTCGCGTAAGCGTCCGCGTTCGATCGTTTGCTCGCGCGAGATCGATACTAACGTGACTATATATGCTTAAAATATTCACCGAATTCATTTCAGATGGGCGGCGTTACCGTTTTCGCATCTAGCCGAAAAAGCGTTCGACGACTCGAGCCTGTCGAATATGGTGCTCTTCTGCGTGAACACCTTCATAGGCGTAGCCTGTCTAGCGACTATTTTAGTCCTCGATATCCTCGGCCGCAGTAAAACGGCCGAGGACGTGAGGAACATTCTGCACTACGTCCTAATGATCTTCCCGCAATACGCCCTCGGCGACGGATTGGTCGAGATCACGAGGAACGACATCACCTCCGAATTGCTCGAAAGATTTCACATGGACACTTACAAGTCCCCGCTCGGCTGGGATCTTCTCGGCTACCATTACCTCTTTCTGTTTGTTATCGGCGCGATTCTGTTCGTGCTGAATCTGGTGATCGAGTGTCGGCTCCTGCCCGATCTGAGGAGGCAGAAGATCGGTTACGAGATGGTGGAGGAGGACGAGGACGTCGCCAGGGAGAGGCTGCGGGTCGAGGCCGGGATGGTCGACGACACCCTGAAGACCATGAAGCTGCGGAAGGAATACAGGAGCGTGTACGGGACGAATGTTGCTGTGCAAAATTTAAGTTTCGGCGTACAGGCCGGCAAGTGCTTCGGTCTCCTGGGCGTGAACGGGGCGGGAAAAAGCACGACGTTCAAAATGCTGACAACAGAGATTATTCCTACGGCCGGAAAGATTATTCTGAAGGGGCAGGAGATTGGCGCGGGGCCGTTGTGCAACGGCGAGGTTGGCTATTGCCCTCAGAGCGACGCCCTGGATGGATTTCTCACGCCCCACCAGTGCCTGACGATTCACGGCGAAGTTTGCGGGTTGAGCAACGTTCCTAAGGTAAATAAGAGACGAATAAGTCTGATAGAGGTACACCTAAATAATCTTCAGTCTGTTGATCAAAATTTAAAAGACGTTTCAAACGTTTATCTCTTATTTGTCTTTATAATTCTTTTATTTAATATTTTAAAGACTTGAAGATGCTCTTGTAGATTCCTATACAAATTCTTTTATCTCAGAGTTGTCGAAGAGAACTAAGTTTTAAGAGTTAAATTTACAAACGTTCGGAATACCAAAGATTTTATTTATTATTTCAGGCTGTGGAAACCACGCTGAAGAGATTCGACCTACTCAAGTACGCTCATCGAAGGGTCTCCGGCCTCAGCGGCGGTAACAGGAGAAAGCTATGCGCCGCATTAAGCGTCATGGCTCCTGCCGCAGTAATCCTCATGGACGAGCCCACGAGGTACGTCGCGTTAATTTTACAATTATGTTAAACATTATTGTTAATTTCGCGCAAGCGTTACTCAATTCTGCGTTGTACGCTCACGCGAGAGTTATTTAATTTCGTTGTTCGCTCGCATTAGCGGAATGGACCCCGCCACGAAGAGCCTCGTGGCCAGAGCGGTGAGACAGGTGACGAGGAGTCAAGGGTGCGTCATCCTGACGTCACACAGCGTCGCCGAGTGCGAGAACCTTTGCTCGAGGGTAGGCATCCTCGCACGAGCCGGTCTCAGGTGTATAGGAACGCCGCAGCATTTGAAGCACAAGTAAGATTACATCGAAACTTCCTCCTTCGCGTAGAATAGCGCGCGTCTTTTTTTAACCCCTCCCCCCTCCCGCCCCCGGATATTTCCCAGCAGACTCATAAACCGTATACACCGAAAGCACGGCGCTTCTATCAGTTCTGATTTTCCGTTTCTGTTTTTCGCAATTCTATTCTCCGACTCCGAGCCGGAGAACTTACGGGATCCTTACGGTCTCGGCAGCTTAACGAATGTATTCTCCAATTGAAATCTCTTATCTTTATACCGCGTCTCATCTTGTTGAATAATCCTCTTGAGGGACGTAAGACGATAGCGGCGGAAGCAGTGGAGTGGGGAAAAAAAAGCCGGTGTGGTTGAGGTTTATTAGATCGCCCGCTATGAAGCCGTCGACTTAAATCCTCAAATATCCCCCTCCCCCTCCACAACAACTTAATCAAAGGAAATTTTTAACAAGTTGCCATTGCGCATTCTAATTAGACCGCCACGGAGAATTTAATTAAATCCAAGTCCTCTCGCAATGAGAATATTCTAAGAAGGTTGAGCCTTTCGCTGATTTTGGTTTCTTAACGCGAGAAAAATGACTTTGACATTATCAGCAATGCAATGATAACAAAGCTAATCTTTCGATTATTCTGAGTAAACTCGATTAAATGTGTACGAAAAAAAAATCTTTATTAAACGTGGCATGATGTACTTGGAATAATAACGTGTGGGCGTGCGATAAATATTTAACCGCTAAGATCCTAAAGTGCCCTCGGAAAGGGAATCCCGGGAAACATTCGCCTTCCATCTTCTTCCGTACCGATTCTTCCCGCTCTCCCGATTCTTCCGCGGTGTCTCTCGCCATCGAGGGTAGAATTTACGATATGGCTCTTGTCCACGTTAGCAGCCTATTCTGCAATCCGCTCTCTCCCGTGTGTCGCGGAGAGTACGTTGAATGATAAAGAATGGCGAATGCACTTTGTTACAGTATAGAAAGCGCAGTAAAAGCCGATCCCCCCCTCTGTGTCCTTTGTCCAGGTCAGGAGTTTTGAAATATAGATCCGCGTCCCCCGCGAGATCGAACGCAATGGGAAAGTGAATAAATCGCGAATTTAAGAATGCTAATAAAACCGGTCTCTCTCTCTCCCTTCCCCTCTCTTTCTTTTTCCCTCTCTCTCTCTCTCTCTCTCCTGAGACGGACGTGTGTCACATCGCTCCGTAAAAATCATAGTTTTTACGGTGGTTAGAGAGGGCGGAGGGGAGTAAGAGTTTTCACAGTGGTACCCATAGCGACCATGAGTATCTATGTGTGTTATCTAGCCGGAAAGTGTTGACTAGTGTGAATAAGACGGGAATTTATATGAGATATTGCGGTGCTCGAGAGACAGGTGTCAATCAAAGTGCCGACGTGGATATTTCGACGTGCGCGGACGCTAAGGTAACTAATTAGTGGAAGGCGCGGTGATTTATCGATATTGTTATCAGTCGGTAATGCGACATGATTGAATCGGATTATGCAGAGTACTGTTGCTCTGCATGTAAAAAGGAAATAAAAAGTGTTGTGCACCAGTGTGCAACCTGTGTGAAAATTTTCTTCCATCCTGGATGCACTTTCAAACATAAAGTATATAACAAGCAGAATGAAGTGGTTAGATGTGAAGGTCCATTTAAAGAATTAAGAATCGGAACACCAGCAGCGGGCGGCAGCAGAGAAAGAGTGGGATCAACAGGATCAGCGATTTCGACGGGAACAACAACTCGCCGCGTCACCTTGAGCAGTGACAACGATATGGATGCAAGTAAACAAAGTGGAATGGATGTGAAAATAGATTGGTTGGTCAGAACAGTGAAGGTGATGAAAGATGAAATAGCATGCAAGAACGAAATCAAGACGATGATTACAAAAATTATTCGAGAAGAGTTAGAAACTTTTAGACGCGAATTTGAAGAAGTGAAAAGGAATATACAGGAGAAAACCACTGGAATTGCAGGAAGGGGACCAGGAAGTTATAGTGAGGCAGTAAAAAATAAGAAGAAAGAATTTTAATTGTCCAACCGATAAAGGAGCAGGAGAGTGAAGCTACCAAGAAATTGGTAAAAGAAAAAGTAGATATAAAGAATCTGGAGGTAGGAATTACAAAGCTGAGGAAAGGAAGTAAAGGCTCGGTTATTCTGGGATGTGAGAGCGAGAGAGAAATGGAAAAACTGAAAGATACAGTACGTGAGAAGCTAGGTGAAGAATTCAAGATTACAGAACCGAAAAAAATAAGACCGAAGATAAAAGTTGTAAATGTTGGAGAAGAAGAAATGCAGCTGAAAGATGAAATCTTAATTGATACGATCAAGAAGCAGAATACAATCGACGGCAGAGATGAAGAGTTTTGCATAAAAATTGTGAAAAGGATGGTT